CGCGGGGGAGCGGGGGGGGGGGGGGTGTCCCTGATGTACTCAGCGGCAGACCCAGAAGTGGACCGAAAGTACTTCTGGTCCACTTCTGAGTCTGCCACCAAGCGTGCAGGGGATCCCTTCTGGCTCAGCGATTGGCCATGGTAAGACCCCAGGTGCCTCCCCCACCCCGACCCAGGAGGCACCAGTTGCCAAGCCTGGGGGTGGAGAGGGGACCCCCACACGCTCTGTGGTGGATCCAGTTCTGGTACTTCTGGTCCACTTCTGGGTCTTTAAAAATGGTCCTCTTTCATTGACTTCAAGTTTCAAATAATTTTGTATAGAGAAATCATGATTTGCACAAAATAAACAGAAAGGGTAAAAAGGGATGTCACCAAGCAAAGTGCATGTCTCATCAGAGCTGATCTGCTTCATTGGGTGAATTGCACATTACCTGTGGTCCCACATCCCATAGGAACCCAATGCAGGACCATGGGCAACGTGTTCTCCTTGCTCAGGGATTCCCCATGTCCCTTGTTGGTCCATTCTCCTTGCCGGGACCCCTGTCAACCCATGTGTCACACAGGGGCACAGGTTGGTGCAGAGGCACAGGGCAGCTCAGGACCGTGGGGAAACTCCATCAGCCTGGGCCTCCACACTGCCACTTGTGACGACCCATGATTCCACATGCCAACCTGTACTTCATGTCCTGACAAGGAGGCACGGTGCAGTACGCAACCCTGGAGAATTCCTGGTACCCCCCCCCCCCAACACTGGGACCCATGCTGATCCATACATTACACAGAGGCATGGGTCTGCAGATCCCAGTGAGAAGGCATGGGACACTAGGAGTTCCTTAAGTCCCGTGCCGACTTGTGCCTTCCTGCCAGGACCACACCAAACTGTCTCTACATGAAGCACAGGATCTTACACAGGTCCTGGTTTGGAGGCATGGGGCCACATGGGTTTTGGCTTGGAGGCACAGGCCCTGGGTCTCATGCTTTGGTATCAGTACCTGTATGGGCTTTTTCTGCTTTCAGAGATGCACCCCTGGAGATCCTGGGCCAGGTCTCTGTAAGCAGGGAACCCCAGCTTTTCTTGCTTATAGAGAGGTGCCCTGAGATTCTGTGGGGTGTGCCTCTGTAAGTGGGAAAAGCCAGGCAGGTGTTCGGGGGCTTGAGGGACCAAATCCTGTGTGGGAATTCCAAGGATGCTCAGGATCTGGCCCCTCAGGCATCCAGACCACCTGGCCTGGGGCAGCTAGAGAATGTGGACAACTCTGGGCTGCCCAGGCTCTCCTGTTACAGAGCCAGTAGAGGTCTGCCACAATCAAGTGGCACTATTTTACATTACCTTTTGTTGCAGCCACTGATGGCTGCACACATACCACCTGCCAGCACAGGTGCCAGAGCATGGCACACAAAGGCATTTTGATGCATGTGCCTTGGGACGGATGGCAGAGAAGAGGCCCCAGGCTACGTCACAACAAGGATCAGACCCTTCGCAGCTCCCCCACCATCTGCCCCAGACATGCCAACATCTTACAAGTTGAGGTGGTGTTTTTGGCACTCTGCCCAAAAGTATTGCTGACCCTTGGTCTAATCTGTCAGTTGCATGCATGTTAGAGAAGCCTCTGTAAAATTTCTTTTTCTTTTGATTATGATTCAAGATTATACTTATTTGATGGGGGGGGATCAGTTTAAAATTCTATTTTTTTTCCCCCTGTTTAGATTAGCGTTGCGTACTCCTTTGAGCAGGCTGTATCAAGAAGTGGAGACTTTTAGATATAGGGCTATCTCAGATACCTGGCTGACAGTAAACCGAATGGAACAGTATCGAACTGAATATCGAGGGGCGCTACTGTGGATGAAAGATGTCTCTCAAGAGCTGGATCCTGATCTTTACAAGCAGATGGAGAAGTTCAGGAAGGTATGAAGTTTCCTGTAGTTTGCTGGAGGGAGAATGCCTGATGAATGGTGATGAAGTGTGATTTTTACGTCCTGTGAGGAAGTTATAATTGAGCAGCACTAAGGATCTTATTAATCATAACTGATTTTTTCCGTGAGACAGAATTCTACATCAAATTAATTGGTATATTATATATTTAATAGAAGAAAAGTCT